AATAGAATAGAATCAAATAGAAGAATAAAATAGAATCAAATAGAATAATTGAATCGATTAGATTATAATCAAATAGAATAATAGAAGAACTAGAATAGAATAGAATCAAATAGAATAGAAGAATAGAATAGAATCAAATAAAAGAATAGAATAGAATCAAACAGAATAGAATAAGACCCTCAGAAGGGACCTTAGAGGTCTTCTAGTCCAACCCCCGGGCTTAGGCAGGAAACCCTATACCATTTCAGACAAGAAGTTCAACAAAATCCAAAGTCCCCAGACTGGTTTCCTCGCTTGCCCAAAGCTCTTTCTCTTGATTTCAATTTTCAGATTGAACTAAGGGGAATTTTTGCTCACTCCCAGCACTGCACATTACATGAATGTGTTAACCTTAAATATAAACCATGGTTCTTCTAACCCCGGACATAATGGAGCAAAATGGCAGAGACTCTGGAAATTAAAGAAGAGAACGGGCCACATTTGCATGTCAGGGGTTGACACGTGTGGCTGCTTCTCCAGGCTATGGGACTGCAGTGTGACATCTCACAGTTCGTGACTTCACAATCCAGGGGGAAACAGAAGCATTTGCCAATGGAAACGCTGCGTGCATTTTATTTTTTTTTGCACGATTGTTCACCCCACTGCAGATAGAAATTATAAATATTTTGATGTTTTTATTTAACGGAACTCGCCCAATGTTTAATAGGTAGAGAGAAATCAGCAGCCTAGCTAGCTGTTTATAGTTGCCAGAAAGAGTCACTTGGGTTATGGACCGACTGGGAGATGTAACTGAGCCACACACAGAAACTATATTTATCACTTGGTGAATTGACAGGGACTTAGAAAGTGTTCCTCTTTGTAAAGGAGAAAGTAAAACAAGTTAAACAATAAGCCACCCCAAAAAGAAGATATAAGGTTTATTTTAGGCCTGGATAATAGCTAATTGGCTCAGTTGGACTTCTAAGCCTGAAATAATTAGAAATAGTGGAAATAATTCTGGAAAAATAGTCGCTATTGCCTAGTCATTTCCCCTCCAACTAGCTAACATCCACACCCCAAAACAAACCCAATGAATTCCTTTTGCCTGGTGCATCTGAATGCACCCAACGGTCACCTGTTATATACACAATTTTGCAATGCACCGCACTGCGCCAGCTCAATTGGCCGATACTGATGACAAGCTTAAAAAAGAGAGCTATCTTCTCCAAGGGCTGAAATTTAATAAAGCTGCCACATGTGCAGAGTTTTAAAAATGGAACAGCAGGATAAAAGCCTTGATTTTCTTTCCTAGGTTATTTAACCCTTGAAGTTTCTCCTTCTTGGGCTATTGCTAGTTGGACCCTTACTCCTTATTTCCTTTTTTTACTCACACACACAGATACACACACA